TTTATTTTGGCGAATGGCTATCAAAATGCCAAATTTGCCACATTTAATTTCCCCGAAAATTTTTCACTGTATGGTATATACAAACTTTCTCATTTCATCTCTTTCATCAGCTTTAGTTTTATCAATGGACACAAAAAATTAGCATGACCTTTAAAAAGTGGCATACCATAGGATGCCTTTTTTTGAGGGATGTAAATTTGTCAAATTTCTATTTTGAATTTAATTTTGGAAAATTTATGGCGTCTGCCATCTTGTACCACAATGTTTTGATTTTCACTGAAGTACTTTTTGCAAATCTTCAATAATTGCAGAATCCACCTAATTTTCAGTACTTAAAAAAATTGTACCCTACAGTATCAAGGGCGTATTTGGCTCTCAAAAGATCACGTCTTTGCCTTGCTCTGATTACCATATTATGTGTGCAAAGTTATATACCGCATAATGCTTTATTTTGATGGTGCTTTATTTTGGCAATTTTGCTATAAAATTGTAATTTGCGGTGTTTAGTTTGGTGATTTTTGTGTACATGTGCATTACTGAGCATACGCATTAATGATTGGCGGTTTTAATATTGGCAATTTTGCTTGCAAACTGCCAATCGTCAAAATAAAACTCCACCATATTAAAGTGCTATATGGTAGTACTGCTGTTGACCTCATTTACAGTGTCTTCTATTAATTTATCCCTAATTTCACGCAAGAATATACCAGGAAGACCATTTATGTAGTTAGTTCCTGGTTCCCATGCTTGGTGGATGATTCTTCTTGGTAAGACAACCAGTTGTATCATAAAGAGCTAGTATTCTGCTGATTGTCGAGCAGTCTACATTATCTGAACGATTCAGCAACTTGTTTGTACATGTAGGTCTATTGTAGACTCTTCACTTGATAGATCATTTTTAATGTAAATTTTCTGAATATTCCTGTGTTCTACTTTCACAGGAAGCCATTTCAATGTTCACACTTACTTAAAAATATTTATTACATTTATGAAAGCTAGCTGTTACATAGATTCTGCCACATTCTGTACATGTACATACAAAGTACAGGTAAAGTACACACACCATGTAAAAGTTGTTGCAATTACTGTTATGCATTAATAAATATCGCATTTTTTACTTTATGAATGATGTTATACTGCAATTTTTCTAATCAATTTAGTTCAAAGAGTAAGAAATCCTTTAATGCTAGAGGTAGACATTGTCTATTGTTGCATTTATTTACAAAAATAATATTTAAAATGTAGGTCAACACTGATGCATCATCATTGACAATTGAGTCTGTAAATACATGTAATGAAAGTGGATCACAACGAAGTGCTGATGAGCAGGCTCTAATTAATTTATTATCTGGTGGACAAGTAAGCTGTTTAATACATTGATGATGAATTTTTTATTGACATATTTTGGTCTTATTACATGTATATTAGCTGAGGTGTCCTTAATTATCCCATTTCTATTGACATTGATCTTAATTTGGTTTAACGAAATTCATTTCTATTTATCCTTTTTAGTAATGTTTTAGTATTGCAAAACCTTACAAAATAGCTTTCTTTAAAGATTCTTTTTCAGTTTGATAGTTATTGCATTGGGGTCATGTATAAATTTCATAAATTATGAATTTCAGTCTATTTTATAATGCAATTTCAAGTTGCAAGAATAATTCTCCGCAAATTTTTGCTATAACTGAGGACTCTTTTTTTTGTACTAAAATGTACAATTTAAAGTCAAAAGTAATTGTTTAGTATATAGACTGTTTTATTTAGGCATGCACTTTTCTCATAGTCATGCAGTCCTGTCATAAAAAATACATTGTACTCTGTGTAATCCTGGTTGTGGTTGGTGTTACAAGATTATAAATTTTACACCATTGTACTATAACATACCATGCTCTTGTCTAGTGCTTTGCACCTGGTCACTGGTAAACTGACGTGGCCAACAATGACTTATATGTATAATCAAAAACTGGACCACTCCCTAAACTTAGCCATATCTAAAATACTTAATTAAAAGCTTGGACTTTATTAATTGAATAAAAATTGTGTAAAATGAATTAAAATATGTCAAATCCAGCTTGCAACCTTGGGATCAGGGGACTCAGTTAAATGTATTTATTTAAACATCTAAGTAAGTCATTTGTTACATTGTTCACATGTCCAGTGATTTCTATTTTAATCAGTCAAGTGGTCTGTGTAAGAGAACCAAATAATCAAACTTTCTGAGCTTTATTAATAAATACTGCTATATCAGCTGTACTGAACAAGTGTTTTCATGCAGCAGGTGTTTCTATGATACACATGTACTTTTGTACTGTTTAAGATGAGATCATGTTATATAAGTATGGTACTTGTCTTACTGCCCATCTTGTCACCAATTCAGTTGGTACTTGTCCAGTGCTAAAGGCTATCAGTATTTCATTTATACATGCTCGGAGTATAGCAGAGTTCTGTATATTGCGCTCAAAAATTACTTGTGAATAAGGTGTGCAATAATAGTAGCAGGCCTCACTTCCCATATAGAAAGTTCAAGCTTGCTACAAGCTTGTTACAACAAGTTCACAACCTCACAAGGTTGTAGTAACATGGTTACAACCTTGTGCAAAAGTGATCAAGTTGTGAGCAACCTAGTGACAACCTTGTTACCCGAGCCCACGCGTAGGCGTGGAAGCGAGGGTAAAGCAGTCGTCCTGTCTGTGTGTGTGTGTGTTCGCTTGGCCTCCACTTTTGAGCTGACACTGCTTTCTTGTCTAGTCCTGGAGAGTCTTATAATCAACAATGGCTCTAGAAAAAGTTATTCTCCGTCTTGGGGATGCTATAGTTTTCTTTTCCGTGGAAAAAGAAGCTGGCAAAGTCGCCAAACGTAGGTTGGTTCCCCGACAACTTTTTCATAGTGTGAGCAAAAGAGCAACTGGGCAGATAAAACAATAAAGCAAAGCCTCATCTTTCATTAATATGAGAGGAATTGCTCAAATCATCTTCGTTTTAAAGATATGGTAGCCCAAAAATTCATACTTTTGTGAGTTTACACGAGGCTCTCTTCTCCCGAAGTAGCGGCCAGAGTCTTTAAACATCAGGGGCTCAATAGACGTTTGTATGCAACAAATAGAGCCTAACAAATGTATGTTAAACTGTTTAAAAGTCGAGAAAAACTAAAGCTTTCTTCACCACTTAGAGCCATGTGCCACCATTACTGTGTGTGCGGGTGGAGCATGGCTTGATTGAGCCACACCTTCATTGCAGCCACACCTTTACATTGCTGCAGCATGCGCACTAGTGCAGCAAGCATGCTGGAGCTTCTTCTCTGTCTAAAAACAAAAATTTCACTGTCTCAAAACATTCACTAAGTTTTTACATGCTGAAGCTTCTTTTCTGTGTCAAAACTTTCACTAATTATTTTTCTCTTAATTTATTAAAATTGTTACACACAGACTGTGGCAAGGGTATGCACTTTAGTGCTCTCGTATAAAAAGTGCTAACGTGTTACAAACATAACAACCTTGTGACAAGGTTTTGCAGGAAACTGAGGTTTCATTAAGTATGCCCCACGATGATGTAAAGCTATTGCTACCATATATAAGGGGACCATTGACCAACCCTTGTACAAGTCAGTAAAGATAACATTAATACACATCCACATCTTTATACATTAGCTACATGTATCATAGATACATTACAAGTATCTAGAAATCTTTTGACATTATATGATATTAATTATGTGTTGATAGGCTTTCAGATTATAGTTATTCTATTGAATTTATTTTACATTGTGACAAGGTTGTCACAAGGTTGTTACATGGTTGTCACAAGGTGGAAAACATGTCAATTCCAGGGTTTTTACAAGGTGGTGGGCCTTGTGGCCAGGTAGTGACGACCTTGTCACAAGGTTGCCACAATCATGCTGCAACCTTGTTCTTTCGATATGGGTTGGTTTTTATGCAGGTGCCAGGCTACACTGCAATTTTTTTAGTACAAATTTGTTGTAATTGTGACTTAATCTCATCTGAGTCTGCAAATTATGTTCTGTAGGATCCCGATACATAACCAACTCTGTATACCTACACGTACTTACGTGAGATTGTCTATGCTGGTCCTGTATAACTTTATGTAATTTGTCTAAAGCAGTTATTTGAGTCAATTTTATGTGAAGCATATATGTAGAGCACCTTCACTTTTCTTAAGGTCTTTCAACACTGGTTCACTTTTAATCTAGATTTGTTTGAACACAATGCAGATTCACTTCTAAGCCAGTTTGGTGAGTGTTCACACCTAAAAAGTATCAATAACATTAACAACACACAGTAAAAGTAGTTTACAAAACGGAAGTGTTGATTGTGTTGCTTTTTTTGGATGTTTTTATGTCATATAAGGAGGATAAATGCTAGGAAAAGGTTTAAGAGAGAGTCAAATAGAGTGTACAAAAAAAGGCTGAATTTAGTCAAACGTATAATAGGGATGTATTTCTTAGCTTGACATTTAACACAGAATTAAACTGGAGCTACTACTGAGAGATTAATCTGAAAGATCATGCTGGAGCCTGCATAGAAGTAAAGAATTGTGGCTAGCAGTAATTTCTGGCAAAATGGGAAATATTTTGTTGGAAAAATAACTTCTGAGTTACATGTCACATTTGATAGTTGGATGTAGAAAAGTGAAACCATATTTCATAAAGCAAACAACACATCTAAGGTCCCCTATTTTTGTTGAGCAAAAAGTACCTGTAACTTAGTGTGGACTAAGTACTAACATTACCATATCAGCTTTATTTAGAATTGGCTGTTCAGCTGTAGTTGCTTTAGTGATTGAGACTTGTAAAGCAATATCAGAGCATTTCTTTCGTAAGTATGTTTTCATACCTACTGGAGAAAGGCTATTTAAAATTTTTGAAGGCTTTAAATGACAGTGGAGTTTTCCTCATGTTGCAGCTGAGGAATGTTGTGACCAATAGCACATGCTGCGGCCAATGGCACTGAACGCCCCTTAGGGTATGTCTCTTGCACACTCTCTAAAGCAGAACAGTACTCTTCACAAGTAGAAAAGGAAGGTCTGGCCTCTGTGTTTGGTGTGAAGAGATTCCATTCTTATCTGTATGATCATCATTTTATGTTAATCACTGATCATAAGCCATTGCTCTCACTGTTTCGAGATGGTTGCCTATCATCTCGAAACAGTGAGAGCAATGGCTTATAATCAGTGATTAACGTAAAATGATGACCATACAGATAAGAATGGAATCAGAGCAATTCCACCTCAAGCCTCTGCTAGGATTCAAAGGTGGGTACTTACTTTATCTATGTATGAATATACCTTAGCATTTAAATTTACAGCACAGCACTCTAATGCTGATGCTTTCAGCAGATTACCTCTTTCAGTTTCAGTTACCCATACAGTTCCTCCAGAAGATATAATGTTATTACATGTATTAGATCAAACGCCAGTCTCAGCTCTGCAAGTTAAAAGATGGATTATAGACAAGACCCTTTCAGCTCTTAAGTTGTACAGTTTACACAAGAGGGTTGGCCAGCAGAAGCCACAGAGTCGAATACAAATGAACTCAAGCCATTCAAGGTGAGAGCCTTAGAGCTATTCACACATAATGGGTGTCTCTTGTGGGGTAACAGAGTAATCATACCACCCCAAGGGAGGGAACACTTATTGGAAGATCTTCACTTGTCTCACCCTGGTATATCCTGGATGAAAGGGCTTGCTAGAGCATACTTATGGTGGCCAGGGATTGATCAAGATATTGCTAGTAAAGCTCAACACTGCTCAGCATGCCAAACTAACAGTAACAACCCACCCCTAGCAACCCTTCAGCCCTGGCAATGGCCAACTACACCATGGCCAAGAGTACACATTGACTATGTGGGTCCAAATAATGGACACATGCTCCTAGTGCTAGTGGATGCTCATACTAAGGGGTGCCTGTAAAGGGCGGATCACGGATCAAACGGAACAACGAAACATCCCGAGGCAAGAAGTAAAATATTTCATCAGATCAGATGAACATCTCATCAGATGAAATGTCCCAGGATACCTTCTGTTCTTTAGACAACACATCAGCTATTTCTGACACAGAACCCTGTCGATGTACTTCAAGCATTCGCTGCTGGTCTACATTATTACTACAAAATTTTCTCAGATTAAAACTTCCCTTTGAAAATTCAAACTTCCCTTCCATACACAAAGAAAAGGCTATATGTACACTATCTGATCCCATAATTACATCATCTACATACATTGATTCCTGTAACTTAGACACAGTGGATGGATAAGCTTCTTTGAATAACTCCAGATGATGTGCAATTGTAGCATTGAGTAAATATGGAGTAGGTTCACTCCAAAAACAACTCGAGTAAATGTAT